GCTCCCGTTTTGCAGTGAAATAAAACACCATGAGATGGATTATGGAATAATGATTAGTGTTACAATAACCATGGTTTAAATCTCGGTTGAAAAAAATTCAAAATTTGATGATGGTGTCTAGATTAAGATTGCTCAAAAGCAAAATATATATGTGGGAAAAAAAATTGATACTATTTCGATAAAGAAGACGTACTAAAAAAATATATAACGGTTATTTAAGTTTAAGACACTTCAAGGAATAATTTGTTTCATTTTAACTTTAAAGTTAAAATATATGTGTTCGTTTGCATTAGCATCTTGGATTCTTAAGAGATAAACTTTCAAAATATCATAGTTATCCTCATACCTTTCATGTAAGTTAATCACTTTTCCGTCAAACTAATTTATTGAGCCTCCATTCTCTGAAAATCGATTGGCTCAAGAAAATCGACCTAAAGAAGATTAGCTAAGGGAGTTGGAGTTGGAGAATATCAGCCTAAAACTTTGAAAAATACACTTAATCGAATATGATCTAACTGATTAGCTTAACTTCTTAATTGGTCATTCCTAATCGAATTTGGCACCCAAAAGTAGAGTTACAATATTCAAATAGAAGAAAAGGATAGAGGGGGAAAGAAGAAAGGGCATACATATGGCCATTTTGTGCGTACCATATTCCCTTGCCTGTCTTTATTTATTTTTTAATTTTTTTGTTCTTGATGAACTTGTAGACATTTTCTGTCTACATCACCAATCATGAACGTGCTCTCACATGTTAATTTTAAGAGTTGATAATAGGGGATGCATACAACCAAATCACACATGCACATATGTGCAACTTGTTGCACATTATCCTTGTCAACTCTTTTTTTTTTTTTTTAAGGCTTTTGTCGATTGTCATGAGGCAAAGACAGTATCTGACAAGCATATTGTAAGGCACCGATATGCTCGCGTCTTAAGTTTTACTTTTAACCTAATGGCAGGCAACTTCTGAATCTTAGATTAAAGGTTTTGGAATCAATAGGGACAAGGCAATTAAAATTAAGGATAATTTTTGACTTGGCATTCGTCATATAGAGGTCTTGAAGCAATTAAAAATAATAATTATAAGGCAAGTGAGAGAAAGAGGACTAAACATTGTTATTAGTCTTCATGGTTGGATTTAGCTGGCTCTAATGATCTGTTAATCTTATCCCCCAAATGCCAGAGGAGAGGACATAACCTGATAAAGGGTTTTTACAGAGGATGGGGTGAGATTGGTATATGTGAAAAATGGAGTATATGATATATGAATAATTGAGTAAAGGTGGGTGTGGACCAATAGTTGTCTTGGCTGCATCAGACACCAATTCATAGAGATTAGCAATGTAACACAATGCAGCTTATAGAACCCTCCTCTGCTCCACTGTGAGTGTGGCCCCAGATTCTAAATATTCCCGCTCATCTTATTTCCCTTGCAAACCAACCAATAATAAAAATAAAAAAGACAAATAATTGATGATATAATCCAAGACCCATTGTCAAGGATTCTAGACTTTTTATTTCAATTTTTAATTTTGACTCTGTCATAGAAACATATAATCGATTGATATGTGAACCCACTTTCATCCATCTTCACGCTCAAGCTTTTTTTGGATAAAGTAATTTTCCAAGAAAAAAGAGATAGGCTCTTTCGGTGTGTTAAATAAAGCATTGAGTTCATAGATATATAATTAGTAGACTTTCGTTCGATCCATATGATTATGTTGACATGTAAACAGTTATCTCCGGATATTCCTTTGTGGGAGAAATGAAAGAGATTAGACGATGAAGGGGTTTGTGAAAGTCGTTAGTTTAAGAATGAGAAGATTAAGCAGCCTATATTCTAATGTATGAAAAGAAGAGTGATGGAGAAAGGTGTAGAAGGCACGACAAGTGACACCCCACGAGAAGAAGCAACTATCGATATCAGTGATTTTATTTTATTCATAATTGGCGTTCCCACCATGAAATGTTTTGGTGCCTCAATTTCAACGCTATTTGCGATTTTGAAACATGCTTTAACGCATATGGAAACCATAACGAGACTCGAGTCCTGGGGGCCCTTCAATTATTGGATAGATGCTATCATTCGTTTAACGGACCACCTCCCTCCTCTTCAATGCATCTTTCTCCCATTTTGCAACCCCAATACACATAATTCACTATTTTCTAATGTTATATTTCTTATGATTTTTAAATATATGTTTAACACAAATAATTTTATTTTATAATTTACAAACATAAGACGCTCCTAATTTTTATTTTATAATAAATAAGTGGATATACAAAGAATCTATTATAGAGTATTTTAGAATTATTCTATTATTTATCTGCAAAGAATGTTAACCAGATAAAATTATTAAAAATTGAAGTTTAGAACACTTTTTTAAGTCCTTATAATTTCATTTATTTTACTTATTACTATTTTTTAATAATATTATCTGTTTTGTTTAGATATGATAAAAAAATTTAAATTTTTTATTTTTATAAAATTAAAGATCTTTATCGCATCAATATAAAAAGAGAAAATGTTACATAAATAAAATTAATGACAAGGATCAAAAGAATAACAAAAATATAAATATAAGAATTAAAAAAATTATCTTAAATTATAAGAACTAAAAAATGTTAAAAAAATAAATATAAAAATTAAAAATAAGTCTATTTTAAGTTATAGAATTCAAAAATAAAGTAAGTAAAACTATAAAAAATTATAAAAAAAAATTAATCAAAATTGGAAAAATAAATGTTTATTTAATTAAAAAATTATTTAATAGTTTTAATTATTTAAAGTCTTTGATAAATATTCTTAAAAATCTTGTTAATAAAATATATTACTTATTAATATTTTGATCTTTTCTTCACACTTAATAAAAATTAATGGGTAAATAACGATGTTTTCTCTATAATTTGTTTCTTCTTATTATTATTGTGAAACTTGTAAATATAATAATTCTATCTTGTAATCTTATATTTGGACTCTTCGTAAAACCCCTAAATCTCCAACGATATTTTGACATATATAATTGACTTGACAGTGCTAAATATATAATAGGCTGAAATAGTACTTAAGGATAACATTCTTTTGTTTTGTGTTAAAACATGTTAACAAGTTTGTTCTTAATAAAATGAAATAAATACTTAAATATATAAATTATTTCATATTTATTTTAAAAAATTAATAATATTTAAGTAATATTTTTGCGAGATAAAAGTCAGGTTCCGGAGAGAGTAAGAAAAAAGAAAGGAAAAGAAATTAAGGTTAGCTGAAAGATATGTTGATGGTAATGCACGCCAATCGAGGTGGGACAAGGACTCCGTGAATGGCGATGTGTTAATAAAAGGCACCATCTTTGGTTTGTTCATTGTTGCTGTTTCATAGCTTCTTTAATGGAGATCATTGCTGCTGGTGGAAACTCATTCCTCACTCCTCACTTTCATGTATTCATATGAATGAGACATTTCAACACCTTCACACTCCATCATTCACATTTTACCACTAAATTTGCTGCTAATTATTCACAAACAAAAAGAAAACCTCAACCTCAACATAAAAAAGTGTTATGACACACACTTTGGACTGCATGTTTTGTTTTGTGCCAAACACCTGGTTAGCTATAGTTCACTTCAGGTCTTCTTTTACCCCACTTTACAAAATCTGAAAATACAAAAGTAACTTGTCTAGTTCTCTAGCTAATGTTCAATATTTTTAACATTTGAAAACAGAGCTCTTGTTCCTTTAAATTAATTTTAAGATTTGCATATAAAAAATATATAAATAATATATATCAATGTTAGTTTTTTAAATGTACTTCAAATAATACAACTTGTAAATTTAAAGATTATCCTCTTGACATGAGCTCATTCAAATGTGATGATGTTTAATTATAATATGGAATTAGTTTATTGTGTAGGTCTCAAGTTAAACGAACTATTTTAATACTTAATGTGTATTTAGTTTTTCATCTACAATCTATATTTAGTATAAAATCACTTCAAAAATAACTATTCATTATGTTGGGCATCCATATCTAATTGTGTTTAATATGTTTTTAAAAAATTATTGTAGCATCTTTAACTTGAGCAAAAATAAAGAATAAAAACATGAGATTTAGGTATGTTGAATGGGTAAATAATTTTCGATAAATATACTTAAACTTTATACTCTTTTTTCACAACTTTTTTATATATACCTTTTTCCTCTATTTTTCCCCTATTTTCCCCTCATTTTTTTTCTTCACCCCAAACAAAATATAAAAACTCTTTCTATTGATAAAACCTTCATTATTATTATTACAACTCATCTTTAAATTTAGAAGATTGAGTAGATAAACATCTTACCATGTTAAGAAGACGAAATAAGATTAAAAACTAAATAATCTAAATTGACATTACTAAGATGACATTGTAGGTACAACCATACACCAATACCATAACCAAAAAAATAAAATCCAAATTGTTGCTTTAAATAAAAGAACTTGTTGACATGTTGAACCCAACATCAAATGGAATATCATGCCTAATTTTATTGGCAGGTTATAAATCATCACAACTCACATTATCGAGCTAGCTAAGCTTCATATGATACATTTTTTTTCACAAATGCGAATAGTGTAAACAATGCAAAGGGAATGAATGAGTCAAGTGCTTAAAAAAATCTCTCCATCCACATTCTTGAATAAGGTTATGTTAGTTTGTTTTATTCACATTATTCAAATTTCAAAACAGTGATTGTGTCACTCGTCAATTTTATAGTCATTATCACTTTAACCCCAATTTTGACTCCACGAAAAGTTAATAATTCTTAATTATTTAAGTACTAATTGTATTTTAGGTATTTGCTAAATTATCTAGTTACCTAAAATTCATAAAAGTGAAAGATTCTATATTATTATAAGGAAATTACTCATTAAAAATAAAATAAAAAAACTTTAAACATAAAATAATTTATTCAAATAACATGTATTATATAAGGCAGGTTGGGGGTGTTGAGTTGGGAAAGAAAGAAAGAAAGAAGAGAGAAGAGAGAAGAGAGAAGAGAGAATAGGGAAATGGGTTTCCCAGTGGCAGTTGGGTACACGGAGGTCCTCTTCCCGAAGGTCCTCCTCCACATCCTCTCCCTCCTGGGCCTCCTCAGGACCCTCCTCCGCTTCATGGGCCTCCACCACTTCCCGGATGCCGACATGAAGCAGGCCCACTTGGAATCCCTCCCCCTCGTCAACTTCATGGACCTGGCCGATGCCCATGCCCAGAGCTGTGCGGTGTGCCTCACTGAGTTCGAGGAAAACGATGAGATCAGACGGCTGGCGAATTGTGGGCACATATTCCACGGAGGATGTCTGGAGCGTTGGATGGGCTACGATCAGAGAACCTGCCCTCTCTGCAGAACAGCCTTCAAAGCAGATCATAATCATACACTCTGGGTTGCGTCTCCAATCCCTCAACTTTACCTTCATTTCCCTGCTTTCTAGAGGATCTTCTTCTCTTTGTATATATACACCACTCCTCAAAACACAATTGTATATCCATTTCTTCTTCAGATTCATTTTCTACTATCCAACAATCACACCATCATTTCATTTCAACACTTGCACTTTTCTTTTTTTTTTTTTTTTTTTTTTGTGTCTTCCATCAT